TTTCAAGACGAATCATCCATCAGACATGCAATAGGATGCACTGTTCTACTACAGACAAAGCCCTGGAGCGGAAACTCGAGCCATGACTTGCTGTCTGTCTGTCTGTCTGAAATTAATACCACAGAATAAAGTTATTATAGAATGGACAGATAACGAAAATCGTCGACATGCTCTTCTGCCAACACCTAATTGACACAGATTCGATGATCATCGATTGGTCATTCTTCGATAGTGACGTTTTTCTGATTACTCTTTTAATCTTGAGCATATTTTATGCTTATGTACATATTCGGTTTACGTGCGTGGAATAGCGATGATCATTACATAAAACTGTAAACTTTTGTAGGTCACTTTAAACCAAACAATCTTGTTCATTTTTCTTCGTCTTCGTGATTTTTTCCTTTTTTTGCTCGAATTCTTGTCTTTATTCAACATAAACTAATGTACGTTTCATAACGACGATAGCCGTTTTTCATATTTGGGTGTGCATCATCTTATTGACCGATGGTTTACACTGTAAAATTTCTGGACTTTTGCTGATTCGACGAACCGCACCGGATGACTGACTTTGAAGGAGGTCTTATGATCTTGAACCAGGCGTGGAAAATGTGTGTTGCTGTCTTACAGTTTTGACAGCATGACTGTCAAACGAAAGCCCACAGTCGTTGATATCTTGTGTCTATTATCTGTTACATTACAAACATTATTTCGGAACGCCCGAACACTTCTCTAAGAGAATCTGTATTTTCTGGTGTACTATAGACTTGATCTCCTCCGTTCCGTAGGTTATTTATCCATTCTCCTCCACTGAAGAGTTATCCGAGCGGGCGCACTTGCACTTGGTTATTAATAACCATAACTCGATCCTACATATTTCACGGTATACTGTAAGGCGGGCCAGTGAACGTTTGATTTGGACACAACTTCGGTAATTTGAAGAATCTTGCTCCGTTTGTTTATTAGAGGTGCACACGTCGCTGTTTTGGCATTCCGTAATGCTTATCCGCTTTATGAACGTGACAAAATGGGATCAGGCGCCAAGTGCCTCAACTCTTCCAGTCATGAGTGCCTCATTTCGTAAACATGGACCCCGTTTTGCGAGAAAGAGTGAACGATCAAGCCGTGATTGCAATTGATCGCTATTGTCAAAGGGATTTTGAGATGTGTTCTGCGTACCAAGTACTACCGAGCGCTACGGACCAGTGATGTCGTCGAATTTTATTTGTGTTTCTTCATTGCGGTTCCTACCATGCATCGAGACTAAACATTACGCAGTGCCAAACATGAGTTACAAGCTCTTCTTGTAATTCATGAAACTGGACTTGATTCGTCACAAATAGTCATTTTGTCTTTGACCACCTGACGGAATTACATAGCATCGAAAGCACTGCCGACGGCTTTGTTCTTAAGGTTCATCTTGAGGAATTTTTGAGGTCGAATTGTTGCATCGGTGGTTTACGTTGGCGAGTTCAGGTAAAAAAGCAACGAAGTAACGCTGATTGGGCCGAGCGCGCGGGAGAGAAACTTTTTGCAGACGTCTTAAAAATTTTCCAACTCGATTGCCTTTTCATTCTGAACGTGGGTGTAGCGACGGCTTGGTTATGACAATCTGTTTCACTGTATGTACTGCTGATTCAAGTGCTGCCGTTTTATTGCCACGGTCTTCGTCGACAACCTAGTAACTGAATTGTTTGGCACTGCTTTAGCTAATTTGTCCCCCTCGCTCCCACGTGAAGGTGAGCTTCATACTTTTACCCCAGGTAATTAGAAATCTTGTGTAAGAAAGAGACGGCCGACGATGCGATGCGAATCAATCTGGCAATTTACACAATAGGGAGGCTTTGCTGACGTCAGCAGATTTTCATTGCCAGTGTCGACTTTTTTGTCGATGCTTAAGCAAAGTAATCGATGTCCTGCTATTCGCCGATTGTCAGTGCCGGTGACCGTTTTGTAGATTCTCTTAACACATGCTTCAAGGTAGTACCAGCCGATTTGCACCGTCTTGTCGTCGGTTGTCACCCTGCCCTGTGACAGTGAAAGTTTCATATCAAAAAATCAAGTTCACACACCTGGCTGCACACGTTCTGTCTGTCTGTCCTGCCGAGTTAGTAGTCGAATCGAGTCGGTTCTGCGACGACACAAACGTGTCGTTGACGATAGGTGTTTTCCAAAGCAGCGAGCATTTCTTCGGTTGCTTGAAAGGCTCATCTTCGGACGACATTACGATATTTTGGCATACTGTATTGTAATGATCTTCTTTGGATGGGTGAACCATCGCACTGTAATTGAAGGTGACAGATTTTAACTGTCGTTCGTCACCGACTTATTTCCTAGACGTTCGCATGCTTCTGTTAAAAGCGCTTGTTTTGCTTTCCGCGCTTTACACCTGTCTTATTTCGTTGGTCAGCGATATGACCGTCTTTAACCGCTTCTTCAGTCGGTACTGAGTTCCGTTCATATAATTTTTTTCTTGTAGAAAATGTGCAAATATGATTTGAAAGCAGAACGACGACGAGGTCACAGATTCCAGGTGAGTTTCGAATCAGTCAGCAATCAATCACTGTAGCTTCTGAACCGGAAACGGAATATTCTTTTAGTGGCTAGGGAACACAAACTTTTTTGCCCACATCATGGATGCAGTTATTGCTGTTGGCAGCCTTGTATATGGATAATAATGATTAATAATGTGGAGTATACGTTGAGAACATTTCATCTCACACATGGACGGCTAAATGACCGATGCCACTGAAAAGGAGATCAGCAGTGCACCATCGACACGAATGCTGTATAAGCTGTTACGAACCCATTTTACTGACGGTTTAACGGGTAGTGATCCCCATACCGCAGTTTCTGTACCCAAAGATGACCTTCAAGTTTGTGGTGTAAAGCTAAATTTTTTCCTAAAAGGGCAGAAAATACCCTTCCAGTCATGTATTTTCGCAGTTCACTACTTATTTTGAATAACGATGGCTGCAGTTCTCGGATCTTTTGCAGTCGACGAAGCATCGGTTCTGTACCACTGCCTTAACCTTAACCTTCAGTAACTGATCTGCAACCTGTAGACAAATGCAAATATATACACTACTGCAGTCTGGAGCCGTATAGATGAAATGTGCGAGGGAGAAAAATCATCCCAGTGCCAGAGAACCAGTGCCCATCCATGTGTCCATTTTCAAAGACCACCGTTTCGTCGGGAACTGCAGTTTCAGGGGGTGGGTTTTTGTGCAGTTAGCGGTCATCCGCCGACTCCAACGCCGTTCGAGTACCGTTATATTCATGTATACAAAAGTAGAAGGCTGTTGTACGCACTTATGCTGTTCTACACAGTCAGCTGTTGCATGACGACCAAAGCCAAGTCGAGAATAAATCTCCTAAGTGTTCGATTCAGTGGTCTTGGGCACAAGGCAAAGTTATGTTACTACTGTGTACTACTGTGATGTTACTAAACCTTTGTTATGTAGTTGTCAACGTTTCGGCTGCGCAACAGTGGCCTTCTTCGAGAGAGTAAACTAGCAACGCCTGTTGGTATTCACTGAGACTCGCATTGCTTCAGTAAACGACTACAGTAAGCCGAAACCTTTAGCAGTGTGCAACCATCAGTCAAACAGACCTTGTTGTTATTAGTCGAGATGTGCAGCGATTGTTTTGTACCAACTTCGTCGTCGACCTTTGAAACGTCTTTTATTACAAGATCGTGACCATGTTTTAAGCCTAGGGCAAAAATGCTAAGACAGCATACTTCTTTGGTTTGCGGAAAGGCTGATCGGGACTACGCTGTCACTCTCTTGAGCTTCGAGCTACCAATCCGTTTTCAACGTCCATTGTTCCGTTGATGTCCGGGAGGCAGCAGTTTTCGAGGCAGTTTTCCAGTGCCTGCGGTTCTTTGCCTCTAATATCAGTGGCTAAAAACAGCTGCTCTAATTATTTTTTGACGGCCTGAGCTGATATGCAGAGGAGGCGATTTTGTTCGTTTCGATTTTGAACGGCGGTCGATCCGAATTCTTGCCCCACGGTCTATAAATCCAAGACAGAATAATCCTGAGGTTTGTAGTTGGCATGCCGCCGTTACTTCAGGCACGTGCCTATGATGGTGGGTCGTCGTTTTGCGGCATGTTCGTCTTGCTTCGTTTGCATTGACGCAAAAGCTTCTGCCTCCCACGTCGCGTACAGCCGATGAAAGACGTCACGAGGGATCGGTCAATGAATCAAACTGCGGCCAGTTTTTTTCCGTTTGGCCATCTGCATCCAGAATCGATAGATCCTCGGGGAAGAGGGAGTAAAAATATGTTTTTATATGAAATTCGTGCGGCATTACATTATAAGTAAATAAGTAGTAAATGGAGTCGTAAAAGTTGTTAAATGATTGAATTCAAGAATTCGCCTGAGCCATGCGCAAATGCAAACGCCGTGGTAAAATTTAAACTCATTAATTTGCTACAAGTCGTGATCACTGGATCTTTATCACTACGTACAGAGGGCGCTACGTTCAGCGTGGATATAAAACGTTTATTTTTACCACGTTGTTGTCGTTTCTGTCATGGTCATCTGAGGAATCAGCGTCAAACACCGATTATGCAGTTTCAGCATGTGTAACACTTTTCGCTTGTCAGGTGATTTTCGATGCTGCGGCCTCGTCGCAAGCAAATCCACCTCTAGCAGCCGCTTCAGACTTGCGATAGGTGCTGCATGCTCTCCGCCGATGGGTCTGTCAAACCAATCAGACATCTTCTGGTCTTTGATTTCTTCACACGACATTCTCAGTTCTCAGACCGGGCCAGTCGTCTCCGAGATCTTTTCATTCAGCATTCAGTAAAACCATCGCAATGTTTTCATGCTGTCTACCGCAGTGGGCAACATATTTTCCTGGTGCTTTATAAATGGGTAGATATTTCGAGGCTTTACATCAGGATTGAGAAAACGAAGACGATTTTCAGTCTTCGTTGCTGCCCGGATAAATCGGTTTTGCCACACACTATCACAGACTTTTCCATGTCATCGTCTACTTTCACTTTGTTACGTTCACTAAGTACGTTTTTCTACTTAGCTGATGTCTGTCTTCCTTCTAGCCCAATACACGACAATATTTCACAAATGATAATGCTTGTTTGTCTAATTTATTAAATTTATTATAATCTTTACGCAAAT